ACATTTGTTCTAAAAAATGATAGAAACTTTAAAAAGGGACGAGAATCATGTCAGAAAGAAAAAGTAGGAATGTAGTATGAATGAAATTCCAAGAAAATCCGATTAAATAAAGAAGAGATGGGAGACGTACACTTATGTTGAAATCATCAACAACAAAAACGCGTTAAACTTATCAAAACTTATGTGATATAAAGTGAAGTAGTTATACGGTAGTACAGTAGTTAGAACAGCTTTCCGATAGTTCATATGTAAAACGTTTTTAAATCATTAAACAGAGACTGCCACGAGAAACCCCTGTCTAGAGTCATTTGTGAGGCTCTCACGTGTGACAAAAGACCAGTTTTGAGACTCCCAGGAAGTTCAATGCCAGGCCTAAGCGATCGAAGATGAGAGTCTCGCTTGACTCTCATTTTGAAGAGGACACTTTGGCCATCAAAAAAAATCAAACCATTTGTATTTCAAGTTTTTGAGCAATGACCTGGTTTTCGAAAGATCCCTTGGAAAGCCTGCTTCAGGGAAAGATCTTGAAAATGGAAATTTTGCAGAAAACTAAGTAGGTCAGAGGACTGAAATAAAAGAAGCTCAAAATAAAGAAAATGTGCTTTCAGTTTAAAAGTTTCAGTGACGTTCCTTTTTAAGTTGATATTCCTGGTCCGTGCAAAAACCTGCATCTGACAATGACCTTTTAATGCTGATTTTTGAGAGAGAAAGTTTGGCGCAATCTACTGCACCTGAGCGTGACAATTAGTTTCCTAAGCCGAATCGAGCAAAAACGAAAGAGGACTTTTTGTCTAAAAGAAATGTATTCGATAGGTTCTTATGCGTAAAATATCCATCTCGAGGATAGACTTCATTTCCAGCTGACAGCTCGACGAAAACATGATTCCGACAGTTTTAATTCATTTTGCATGCTCTCATTCTTTCTAGCATCAACATCCACTACAACATCTACGTCTACCACAACCTCAAGTAAGTACGTTTTTCTGGGTTGTAGACAAAGCTTTTCGAGAGTTGCCCACCATTAGTTCCGAAAGGGACATAATAACAATTGTAACTCAAAAGTGTTGGCGATTGAATCTAATGCAACAAAATGAGTAGTGAAAAAAAGTTTACTAATGAGCTTATTTCGTGTTAAAAAAGGAAAAGACGTATACTATCAAAAAAACTTCCAGTTAAACATTTTTTGACTATGCTTCATCATTCTTCAGTCGAAATATAAAAGAAACATAAACGGAGGTAAACATTGTTTTGAGTAATAAAATAAACCATAGAGGTAACGCGGTCAAGGGTGGTACGTCCAGTACTCTACCTATCCCAATATGAAAGACTGTATGAAGTACAAATACCCAGATTGAAGAGTCATACTTTAACGCGTTGTGACCCAAAAGGGTAAGGACAGTGCCATTTACCAGTGTACACGAAACCAAATTTTTCTAGGATAGGGCCTGTATTGAAAAGGCGACATTTGGCAAATATTATGCACAAGTTTAGTTTTACTTTTAAACGAAGATTCAATTGTTCTTAAGAAGAACATCCAGTCTCTACATGTTCGTGGCAAAAAAGATGGCCAAGCAGCGGTGCGGGTGTTTGTGAAAGGATCTTACACAAGTTGATTCAACTGATAAGAAACTTCTCTGGTTCTGTATACTTTTACCGGCAATTTGTTTCAAAGATTTTATTATTCAGAAAAGAAATTCCGATCTGAATAATATTATGTGTAAAACTAAAAGTCGGTGGCCTTAGATATTTTTTGGACAGATTTTGAAGGTAAAAAGGTAGAGTTCTGCAGTTTTCACCATTTTGTAGCCAAGGACTCACTGCACCTTTTCATATATGAGAGGGATTGTAAATCTCTGATTTTCAGATAGTATACTTGACAAGTTTTTGAAGTATAAGATTATTTTTTAAAAATTTGTATGACTTTCAAACATGGATTATGCACACGTTAGTACACCTAGTTCTTGACCGATAAGCGGCAGACACTTGGAAACAGCCTCATTTCAAAGAGAAAACTCTGCTCTACAACCATGAATATTAGAAGAAATTTTAATACAAAAGAATGATCTCCAGGAGTCATATTTAAACTTAAGTCTAAGCATAATTTCCACTAGAATAGTCGCCACGACATGCGTCAAGAAAATTTAAAGCACACTACTTGAAAATTCGAGACTTATAAAGCGCCGTATATGAAAAGATGCAATCAAGTCTTGGCTACAAAATAGTGAAAATTGCAAGACTGTACCATTTTTGATCAAGAGTTATGAAAAACCATCCGACTGCGCTATCCTTTTATTTGCAGATAATAGAACAAGTAGCGCTCATCATTCTGATTCACTTATCCCTTAACTGGAAAGGAATTGTCAGTATCAAATTGTTTCTACAGAATAAAATAATTATCTTTCTTGTTCACATTACATTCTGAAGAACATTCTCAACAAGCAGCAGTGGGCTAGTATTACGACAGTTCGACGACCATGGTTGTCCTTGCAGTAAAAGAGATAAATGAGGCACATTCTCAATTCTTAAATTTTTATTTCTAATCATTCTCGTATTATGTCTGCCCACTAATAACTTGTGTTTACGCCCTAACACAGTGGGGGAATTCTTTAGAATATGCCGTGAATTTTTCTCTGATTTGATGTGTAAGCTTCCTAATACAATGTAATGCTAAGAGGTTTTCACGAGACCCTCCAAAGATCCCAAGAAGTCTAGTACTATTTCTAAATCGAAGACAATGCTCACGTCTTCCTTCGGTCGGCGTTCGCAACCGGGATACGTGAGAAATATTGTGAACTTCTCTCATAGCCCGCCATCTAATATCAAGGTAAAACGTTTTCTAGACACCCTATGAAGATTCCAAGAATCTTGGAAGCATCACTAACCGATTCGTCATGCTAGACTATCTATATTCTGTAAGTTTTGTTCTGCCCTAGATGACTCCTTGGTGTTATCAAACGTGGCTGATTTCTAGCGACATCCACCTCCGAACTACAGGAAAAGGTTTACTTAGATTTTCTTTCTCCGCATCAGTAGGTATTCGGCCATCTCTCTGAATATTTTCTCTCTCGTGGTTAAAAAATGAATTTTCTATATTTGCTTTCTTGTGATTGGCTTATATATGGAGTATCTGATAGCCATTTTCCACACACATACCCACAACCACTTTGTAAGACGCTAGACTAAAGTCAATGAAATAAAGTTCAGAAGAAGTTTTCGACTGACATAATCGATCCTAGAGACTGCTCATAATCATTTTCTGATTCCCCATAGTCGTCCACCTACTTCATATCATTTTTCATCCAGCCGAGTGGAAATGACGTTTTCGACCAATAGCATCAATCCTAGAGGTCGCACTCACTCATTTTCGGATTCCCCGTACTCAACTATCTACTTCATATCACTTTCATGCATTCAAGTGGGAATGTTGTTTCCGACCAATATGATTCACCGTAGAGGTCGCTCATACTCATTTTTGTGATTCTCCATAGTCGACTAGCTACCCCATATCATTTTCATCCAATCAAGTTTCGCTCTACTGGTTTGTGCATCGCTAGTATCTAATCTGCGGACATACAAACATACAAGCATTTTAACTCGATAAGACCCTTTAATATATCGGAATATGGGCCGTCTTTCAGTGTCAGAACCGGTTCCCCACCTAGACATATATAATTGTGAAATAGAAGAACATACCAGGCTGGCCCATAGGTTAAAGCGAATATGTAAGAGTACTGTATGTTTGAACCATACAAATGTTCGTGGGTTCGAATCCTACACCTGGAATTACCTTTTTTATTTTTAAGACAAGGTCAGAACGGACCATACCTACAGGCCGTTCTGAAAAGGGTCAGGTACGCCCGCACCTTTTTCTGTCATAATGCATTGAAGAATGGGCAACCCGACATCCCGCACCAGCTGGGAAATGGACTGGTCTACTTAGGCCTAGTACAGGGCGTCTTTTTAATACTGCAATCACGTACTTTCCCCGTTCTTAACTTCTTGGGTAACTTCCATTTTACAACAGACACACCAGGCTGTCTCCTCATGCGAAAACATCTGTCTGATTTAAACTTACAATCCACACCATACGATAGTTAAAGGTTACACTGAGCGTTCTGCCATCTGACTACGATCCGGTCCAGTACTCTACCTATCCCAATATGAAAGACTGTATGAAGTACAAATACCCAGATTGAAGAGTCATACTTTAACGCGTTGTGACCCAAAAGGGTAAGGACAGTGCCATTTACCAGTGTACACGAAACCAAATTTTTCTAGGATAGGGCCTGTATTGAAAAGGCGACATTTGGCAAATATTATGCACAAGTTTAGTTTTACTTTTAAACGAAGATTCAATTGTTCTTAAGAAGAACATCCAGTCTCTACATGTTCGTGGCAAAAAAGATGGCCAAGCAGCGGTGAGGGTGTTTGTGAAAGGATCTTACACAAGTTGATTCAACTGATAAGAAACTTCTCTGGTTCTGTATACTTTTACCGGCAATTTGTTTCAAAGATTTTATTATCCAGAAGAGAATTTCCAATCTGCGCTATGACAAATAAATATTCCAGTAAATTTTCTAGAGCTGAGATCGCTGGATACCTAAATCCTAGAAAACTAAGTCCACGAATTCGAGCGACACTTTTCCTGTAACGGCCTCAAGGTGTACAGAAACGTAAATCGGTCGATTACGATGTTTTGCCTCGAACGGTCTAGTTTTGTAGTAAATGATTGCTTAACTCATGAGAGGGTGTTTCGCTTCGAAGTAGTTTTTGCAAGGGAAAATATGGACAGTTCAGTTCCTTTTGGTGTAATAGGGCATCGCGTTTAATAATCTTTTGCTACGTGGCTGCTTGATCATCTTTATTAGGTCATAAAGTAGAAATGTTGCGACTCACTTTTGAACGGGTAGGGCAGTCAGTAAAAGGTTTATCCTTTAATGGACTCTAGTTGATATAGTATATATCAGTTAAATCATTTTTTAAACGGTTTTTAATTCCCTATGCGTCCATGGTATTGGAAGCTACTGCGGTTTGGCAGAAAAAAGTTATTGACACGTTATTAAACGCATGGATTATCACACAAAATGGAACTGAAATGTCAATACTTTTGTTGTAAAAACTGTTTAAGGTCGGGAACACCCAATTGTAAGATAAGCAATTATTTTCTACAAATCTAGACCATTGGATGCAAACAAATTTTAGTGGGCCTATTTATCTAATTGCGGTTAGATAGAATTTTTTCCTTCAGGGAATGTTTCATTTTTAACAGAGATTGTGGTCCCTCACCTGTACCCATCAACATTATGCGAACTTCGTGGTGTAGGTCTACATATAGAGATAGTTGAAACCCAGGTCTTTTGAATTAGAATAGGTTCAGAATCAGAAAAGATTCTGCACATATGAGCGATTTTCACAGATAGACGCATTTCTTTCCGTTATTTATATTACAAAAAGATATAACTGCTGCTTACAAAGTTAGATTCTTTTAAAATTGGAATGCGGTAGTATTAATAGTAACTCATATTGTAGAATTTCTAGAAGAAATTTTGGAATTTAGGTACTTCTGAAAGCAGCACAAGCAGTACTTTAGTAACAAAAAGCCCTTGCGCAAGAAGCAACCCTCTGTCGAATGTGTTACTCTCATCTTTCACTAACGTGGGCACAACCAATTATAGTACTCAGAGTTTGGGTAATTATGATGGTGAATTTGCTAGTTATCCGGCTGAAGCTCTACAGAATTATAATCTATTTCCTAGTAGCTTTTTTGTTCACAGTGGATTTCAGTTCACTTGGCCCAACATCCTCACCGGGCAGAAAAATAATGTTGAAACAACAGGCCAAACAATTGCATGCAATGGCGCGAATGCTTCGGCCTTGGGTATGATTGGAAGTGCTGAACAAGGAGCATCATCGGGTCCACTTAGCATCCAGTACACGGATGGTACCACACAAAACGCTACGCTAGCATTTCCGGATTCGACAGACGCAAATCCTCCAGCAGGTACAGATACTGTCGCACAAGGCGGACGCTATAAATGCAATCCTAGTTGCGTCAATGAAACCGTCATTGTTAGTCTATATCTCATATCATTCCCGTTGGATTCATCACGATTACTTCAGTCAATAACACTGTCGAGTAATACTCATTTGCACATATTTGCATTGGGAACACCTTGCAATACCCGATAATATAAAACTATTTCGAAATTCACGCACCGTCGAGCTAACCTTCTTTGCTATCATTCTGACTGGAATTTGGCCTTTCAAGTGACGAACTATCCTCATAGGCTTTTCAAAATGGTTTAAGTTACAAGAAAAGAATGTATTGTAATAAATTTGAAAACAAACATAGTCTTCTTTCAGTGCGCAATTAGAAGAATTCTATATTCTCGATTCACCAAATAATCAAAATTGTAAAATTCTCGAAGCCGTGAAACTATGTTCTGCTCATTCAGCGTTGAAAATTCGCCCTGAATCGATGCACCTTGAAACATAGAATAAAAGTATAAATCGCTTTTTAGAAATTTCTTTTGATTGCTGAGAAACCTAGGTGTGGGAAGGCTGAAACAAAGTTATTCTTGTTCGGCTCATCCTGCTCTGTCGAATGATATGGGATTCGATCAAATATAAAATAGCGTATGAACTTGGAATTACGCGCGCCCTAGATAAGGAAAACAATTCGATAAATGTTATCATCAAAAAATTTTAACCATGGTCTAACATAACTTGAAATAACAATATTGCCGATAACGACATTTTGATTGAATCTCGTTTATTGATGTAAGAGTAGAAAATGCAAAAGATGCCGGCCACAAAAGTGGATCAAGAATCCATATACATGTGGTCACCGTAAAAGAGAAGAAAACCAACACTTGACTGTTACAGGTTCGCTAACCCATACTAAATAGTTCAAGGGGAAAGGCGAGAGGAGGAGCGAGAAAAAGAAAATATTATGAATAAGTATATAAGTAAGCATAAAATGTGATAGTTGTGTGGTAGACTGGTGCTGCAGACGTGTAAGGCGACAAAAGTAAATGAATCAGACAGAAGTAGAGAATCTTCCTGTATCAGCAATATACTTTACGACTAACTCGACAATAATTCCAACTGTTACTTTGTCAAACAGTACTCTCGTAATAGAAGTGATTCAAGATCCGGTTTAACATCTGGAATCCTGTTCGAGAACTGTGTCATTAGATTTTTTCTCTCCTTGTTGATTTAACCATAGTCTAACATAACTAGAAATAACAATATTGCCGATAACGACATCTTCGAAAGCATAGTTAAAATTCTTTTAACAAGATTGTTCATGTCATTCGGTGTTCGTTTTATTAAAATAGTCGGATTCATGACGAAATGTACCGATTGTGCTAGTAGTGTTCTGTGTTCGAGTTTAACTTTTCTTTGTTTTAGAAGATATTGAGCGTTCATTTTACTTTCTGTCAGACCACGAGTAGAAGAGATAAGATCATCAAGTACAACATGTGTTTCGTAAAGCCGTTGTTTAGCCGTTCAACTATGATCCCTCCCCTAATTCTAGCTTGTCGGTTATTTGAGCATATTCACAAATTATGTGATTTTAACTGAATAAGGAAAGTATACATTCCTAAATAATCATAGGTTATCGGAAATAAATTTCTTTGTTTGTCTGTCACCTTGTCCATATCATCCTAGTATTAAATTCGATAATTCCTTCAACATTAAATCGTAACAATATTTGGTGAATGGAAACGATGCGGCAATAACTTCGATCTGTTTTAGAGCGTTTACTAATGGAATTACTGAATTGCTAGGTTATAGGTACAGAAGGAAAAAAGGCGGGTTAAAAAATATAAACATATAGCTCCCTTAACTAGAAGGTCATAAGTTTTTTTGTTTTTGATTGTAAACTCTTCCTTTTAAATTTTATTCATTCATTTAGTGTTCTGCCCTAGGGCAGGTTCGAGGCACCCATTTCCTCCATCCTTCTCTATCTAGAGGAAATGGATGCCTGAAATTTTATTAACAGAAATTATTTCAAAAACGTTTCGGAAGAATCTTCTTCCTTCTTCAGTTTGAAAAAATAATGAATGGCATATAGAACTATTTGAGAAACACATACTATATAATTTATTCTTTTTTCCCTCTCTCTCTCTATAATAGTGGGAACGGACGGACAACAAGACGTTTTACCGTCCCATTACTCATAATCTCTTAACTGTCTCTTTGATCGTTTAAATTCAATCTTCCTTTTTATATGATCAATATTTTTGTGCAACAAGGGCATCCAAGAATAATCTAGGTCATTATGTCTATTTATCGACTTGTTCATAATTGAATAAATAGATTCTTTCACACGTCTCTTTCTCCAGTCTATGTCGTTATCAATAACAAATGCATTTGATGGTCTGAACATGCACTGAAATTTATTTGAGTGGAAATGCTGGACCATTTCAGAGTTAGACTGTTGGTTATCTTTCAAAATTTCCTTTTCATGTTGCTTCATTCTGTTCCAAAGGCCTATTTTTGTCTCACCGTTGTACACACTTTTGCAGTCACAAGAGATCTGGTAAACGGCAGAATTGGATTGGCGTCTAATTGATGAATTAAAGAGTGATCTCATCTTATTTTTATAGAAAAAGAAAACTTGAATATTGAACTTTTCCAACCTACGTTTCAACATTTCAATACCAGGCAAATAGGGAAGGGTGATGAAATATTTAAACTCATTCGCCTTCGTTTTTGGTTCATCAGGAGTTTGATTAATGCCTTTCATCGTTGCTTGGATTAATATATTCACTTCTCGACTCGGGTATTCAGAATTTTTAAGCATTACTTTCAATTTCTCTAAATCTTTTTGTTGTTCTACAGTGTTCTTAGTTGTTGAGATGATTCTGCTTGCCATGTTTTTCACAATGTATCTTTTAATAGACTTATGATGGCATGAATTGTAATTCAAAAGGCGATCTGCTGCTGTGTCCTTACGAAACCATTTAACATCAATGCTATTATCATTCCCATTACGGCTCAATGTAGTCAAGAAAATTGATCTTCTTATTCTCTTCGTATTCCAAAGTGAATTTTATAGTTCCTATTTTTTCTCCCAAATAAAATTCACTCAAGTGTATTCAATCAAGTTCCAATAAAATTCACTTTGGAATACAAAGAGAATAAGAAGATCAATTTTCTTGACACTACATTGACCCGTAATGGGAATGATAATAGCATTGATGTTAAATAGTTTCGTAAGGACACAGTCTTTTGCGATCCATCGCCATTTAACATCAGTGCTATTATCATTCCCATTACGGGTCAATGTAGTGTCAAGAAAATTGACCTTCTTATTCCCCAACCCATTAAGGTAAATATGCTTTTTCGATCTTTTGATCTTATAATCTCCTTTAGCAGAGGAAATCGATCATATCCTGAAGGTCTGAACTCGTTCTGATGCTTGTTGAGTGAATAGTGAAGTTTTTAATAGCTTTCTTTTCGTTTACTCTAGCACGTAGACATAACTAATAAGGGATATTTTTATGGAAAACGGTTGTCGCCTTTCACCAGCAAAAATTAAAATCTTTATATCCCGGTCAAATCTCATGCTGACTCAAGGAAACTTTAGGGAAAGAGTTAGTTAAAAGGCGTCATATATTGTTGATGAAGTCGAAAAAGTAGTCCAGCAGAACACGGAGGCTTTCAGACTTTTCAGGAGTTTTCTGGAAAAGATTAAACTAATTCCCAGCTGAAATTCAGTTTTTTCGTCTTCAATTACGATTTATGAGCTGTCTTGAGCGTTTTCTGAAAGTTTTGTTGAGTCAGCATGAGATTTGATTGGGATATAAGGATTTTCTGCTGGTGAAAGAAGAAAAACCGGTTTTTCACAGAAATACCCCTGAGAAAGTTATTTTCGACGACGATAGCTGGAGAGCTGAGACTTGCATAATTTTGTAGAGTAACTTAGGGACTATCTACGCATGCAAAAAGATTACTAACTTTGTGTGTTAGTTTTCTGAAAACGTAGCTGGTTTTTCAAAGATCCTGTGGAAAATTGGACTTACAGAAAATTTTGAAACAAGTTCCTGCTTACAAGAACATGTCTTAGAGTCTTAGGAATACGATGGTGAAAACCGCAGATGTCTGTCTATCTTCTATCAAAAGTTATTCAAAAAACAACTACTAGCGCCGTGTAGCTCGGAGTGTTCTCTTTAGCACGGAAATCAAGCGAGATCTTGCTTTTCCGCAGTTCGGGCGCTGTATTAGATTTTCTACGAGTCCCAGAATTGGTATCCGGTGACCATTGGCAGAGTTGAAGACGGATGAACTATGGATAATCGACGATGCTGAGTCTCGTGGCAGTATTTATTTTTAGAAAAATCTTAAAAATCTACCGAAAAGCGAGTTTTTTCCAAAATTAGAGTTTTCAAGCTGTCACTAATTTTCTGCTAAGCAAAGTAATTAACGTTAGGTATGATGGTTTTTAAATTTTTTTTCTGTCAATGGGAAGAGGATTTTATAGTGTACATGAAAAGTTTCAAATATCGATGATCTAATTGCTAATTTAGGCTGTAACTTAATGATTCTACTAATTTGAATGCACAAAAATGCGTTTAAAATACTCTAGCTCTATTGTATGCCCATTATTTGTTAAAAGTACTCTTTTATTTCGCAGTTTTTATATATGTGGTAGATTATAAGATTCTGAACAACTTTGTCATTTTAAATGACAAAGTATTTTTGTATATTTGTATATTTTACATCATCTGTATACATTTTTAACTATTTGGGTATAAATAATTCTCACAGGAAAATAGCCATTATTTTTTATTCTCTTCGATCATACAACTCTTAATTCTGATTCTTTTTTCGTATATGAGCACACAACACGTTTTCTCTTTAACGAACAAAGTAAGGAAAAGACTGAATTATCGAATGCACCCTACCTCTAAATTAATTCTGTATCTGCTCACTTCGCTAATTAAAACTGGAATAACTAGAGTGGACCCTTTTCCACTTCTCACACTAACGTCAAGTACACAAATTGTAATATATTTGCCATATTTTGCAGAAAAAGATCTTTAATTTTTAAGAAATACAGCTGTCAATACCAAAGATAAAAGTAGTAAAACGGATACGTTTCAATTTGATTTTAACGATTTCACTGGACAAAATAAATGTGGAACTTGGGCTTCTCTGACTATGATGTTCCGAAAAGT